TGCTGTCGCGAACTGACGCGTGTCTGATGCGACTCAGCAGCGTTCTCCGCGGTCGCGCAGAGCTTGAGCTTGAAATCAATCGGAACCATAGCCAGCCAGGCCTCAGGATTCCGCCGCGCCTAGCGCCGACATCTTTTGGCACGACTGGCTGCTCCCGGGCACCCTGGCAGACCGCCCCCGCGCGGCCCGGGGGTGGCAGGGGGCGGCGCCTCGCCGACGCAGTAGCGCCAGCGGGCCTTCGCCTCCTGGAGCCGCTTGCACGACAACGCGGCCGTCGCCCCGCATCCGCGAGCGGGGGAAGGGGTGCGCGCCAGCTTCAGCTTCCGCCCTGGATCCTCCGCTCTGACCTGCGGCGGCGGCGCCTCCGCAAGGGCGCGTTCACCATCGTCGCCTGCGTCGGGGATGCCCGAGGGGCAGCGCGCAGCTCGAGAAGCCGCCTTCGATGGAGCTCTCGATTTAGAAAGACCAGGACAAAACCGCACGTTCTCCGCAGCGTCGCGCGATGCCGCCGACTTGCCGCAAGCTGCGAAAACATCGGGATCAAGTCTTGATTTTTCATGTGCCGCGAGTGCGTTGCCTTCGCCGCCGCCGCCATTGCTTTCGGGGCAGCCGTCGTCGCAGACGCGCCTGCCTTGGCCACTATTTCGGCAATCGCCTGCGAGACCCTGCTGCCTTTTCATTTCTTCATTTCCCTGCCACGAGTAAATGCAGCTGCGCTCGCATCCTGCCGCCAGTGGCTGGTCGCCACCAGTCGCCGACGCGTTCGGCCTCGCACTGCGCGCGTGCAAAGCCGACGGCGCACAAATACAGACGCAATCTCCAGCTCCACCGCAGTCAGATTCCTGCGTGATGTCAGCCCGGGGCGCCCTGGCAACGCGACGAGCCCGCGCCGGCGCGGGCTCGCCCCCAGATGGCCGGCCCCGTCCTTCACCCGCAGGAATGTTCTCGCCGCCCGTGGGTCCAACTTCCACATTTTGCGCTTCCTGCGCGGCGGGTTCATCGCGCTGCGGCGTCGGTGACCCAGTTCGCGGCTGCGCCGCGCCCCGTGAACTTCCAAACTTCCTGGTCGCCCCCTTCTTTCTGTCGCCAGCGGCGATGAAGGCCGAGGCAACCGATATCTCGCTATAGCACAGGTATTCGCTCGTTCGCCATCCGTCCGGGCCGCCGCCGGGTCGCCGCGAGAGAACCAACGCCGCCGCCCAGCACGCTGCTCTTTGGAAATGATGGCGAAACCCTTCGCCGACGCCCGCGTCGCCAAGTCCTCAGGGCCAAGCCGAGAGTTGGGGATCTTCAGGGCGCGCTAGCGTGGGGGGGGCGTCTGGGGCGAGGGCCGCGTCGGCGGGGCGTGCTCCGACAGGCGTCGGCGGGGCCCGCGTTCAACGGGGGGCGTCGCCGTCGCCTGTCGCTATCATAGTCTTCTGGGAGTTCGTCATCGCTCCGGCGGTGCCGCGGCGGGGCGATCCTGGGCCCCTGCGGGGCAGGAACGCTCCGCGCGGAAGGGGGCGGGCCGCGATGGCATCCAGGAGCGAGCGTTTGAGAATGTGCATGCAAGTGATTTCTGATTCGTGATTGAGCGCGCCTTTCGTCTTCAAGTTGAGCATCTGGAACTCCGAATCGAATGCGCGGCGTTGGGCGTTGGGTGGCCTTCGAGCGCAGGTCGTCAAAGGCGAAGCTCCGTGCTATGGTCCGTCTCACCTGGGCGATGTCCGCCCTGTCTCCGGCGGCCCCTCCCGCCGCCGAGGCCCCCCGCGATGGGACTTCTGGTGCCCCGTGGCGTAGCCGCCGCCCACTCGCGAGACCGGGGGGTTGAGTGGCTGCCGGATTAGATATATCTCGCTCGTCGCGTCTCGGCAGCGCCCCATCGCCTTCGAGCCCTGCGAGCCCGCCTTTGCTGAGCCGCCGTCTTCGAAAGGGCCCTCGTCGGACGTTTCGTCGGCCGCGCCCGTGTCTTCAGCGAGGTTCTGCGAAACTTTCGATGCCGCCGCGCCCCGGGCAGCGTCGAGCGATTCCGCGACCGCGAAAGACATCGGGGTTGTGGCTGAAGTTGTTGTCGCCGTGTGCGGCGGCGCGGCTTTCGCCCGAATCTGTCGGGAAATGGGCTCGACCCGCGCGTCCCACTGGGCGGGCTTGGGCACTGCGCGCGACGCTCGCAAGTGCAATCGGGCCCACCGTGCAGAATGCTCGGAGTGAGATGCCAAGCTACCCGCTTGCCTCGCATATAGACATGCGTGCGACATGAAGCGGGACCGCTTGACGCGCCCCCGCGACCGCCGTGGCGCTCCGAGTGCAGGGGCGGAATACTGCGCGCCCCCTCCTGGCGTCGGGCCACGCCTGCGGCGCCCTCCGAACTTGGAGCGGATAGGGACTGCGCTCAAGGACCGCCCCCTGCGCGCCCTCCCTGGGTCGGGGACGTGCCGCGCCTGGCGCGCCCTGCGACCTGGGCCGCCGCGCGCGCGGCGGCCCTGCTCCATCCTTTGTTGGGGGCAACGTCCAGGCGCGAGGGGCGCGGCCGCCGGGCGCGCGACGGCCCCGGCCCAGTCTACGCAGGGCAACGCGCGATCCGCGAAAGGCACGGCCGCGGAATTGGCCGCGTAGGGCGCGGAAACCAAACGCGCGATCCGGACTGGAAAACCGCGCGCGCGCCGCGCGCGGAAGGCGCGCGCGACAGCGCTGGGCCCATCAGGCACCAAAGACGGCCGCACGGGAGGGCTGGGCGCCACTGCTCGCGCGCGCGCAGTCGCGCGCGCGTGCAGTGCCCCATAGTGAGAAGAGAACTACCTGCTCGTCGACCGAAGTTGCCTGCGCATCTGCACCCATGCGTTTCACGCGCATATGCCAATGCGTGAGTGCGCGTGCGCTCGTATGCACATATGTGTATATAAACATATATATATATATATATATATATGTATATATCTATGTATATATCTATGTATATATATATATATATATATATATATATATATATATATGTATATACATGTACTCATCAATCGCATCGTTCGGTCTCCGTGTAATATATTTCAGGGGCCAGTTCAACAATTAAGTATTCGGCGGTGAAATAATGGCACTTGAGATTCGAAGGGGGGAGGGGTTGTCATCATTTTTAACGGTTTGTGGATATTACTGGGGCCGCGCTGTCACGTGCCATCATCAGCGCGGGCGTCAGTATGGAATTCTCGATAGAATGAAAATTGTAGCGGGCCTCCAACGAAGGGTCCTCGTCGCTGCTTTCGACGACCGTCCCCGTGCCAATTATAGCGAAGATGCTGGTGATGATACAACTCCTGACCATGCGCAAGAAGGAATGCAGGATACCTTGCGCGAGTAGCCACATAATGCGAACGTGTATTACCCCCCGCACTGTCCTAGCAAGGCGAACTGGACGAAGCATCTTGAGCATGTGCGTGTTGCCCGCCATCAGGTCCAACGCCCCGCCACCGATTGAGACCACTATAAGCGCCGCGCTAGCCGAGCCAGATTCAACGAAAGCGGTGTCAAGCGTTACCCAAGTTCTTGATGAAGATCCCTTCGCTCCGACAGCGTGGAAGCCCAAGCTTAGCTAGTGACTAGAAAGATATGCGCGATGGCAGCCGTGCTCGCGGGGGCGCCATCGCAATGGACTGTTTGCACTGCCTCCACGCCGATGGGAAAGGAAATCCAGATCATGACCACCCCCATGAAGTAGTCGAAACTACGAGAGATCACGATGTCAAGTGCTCGCTTTTTTGATGCCGTTGTTGTGCTGCTTTTCTTCGCATGGGAGACCCAGTCTTGATTTCACTTCGCCTCGGGACTTATGAATTTCTCCTTTTCTGATTCGTTGACTCGCTTATAGATGGTCTCGATCTATTCGTCTGGCAACAGACTGAACGATGATGTCAGGTGTCTGTCGCAGCCCTGGAGCCAAACGGGGAATGAAACTGTGGTGGTGGGTCAGCAAACCAAACGCCCGCGTCGCTAACGTCCGTCACAGTCTCGCCGGGAAGGTCGTGCTCGAACTCGCTTGCAGGGTTGCCGGAGCTTGCCACGCAGTCCGCTGTGAGTGCTGCTCGCGAGTGACCGTCCCTGGCGAATGCTGCTCAAGGTCATCCCGGGGCGGGCCGCCCTCAACAAACGGAAAGAGCTGCAGGGCAATGCCGGATGGGACTGTCACACTTCCAGACGTGGCTGCCGTTTCCTGGACGGCCCCGGCCTTCCTCGAGGCCTATGCCTTCTGCCCCAGGGCTCTCGGCGCCGTCGGAGCCGGCGGTGCCACGGGCTTGGGCTCCGAGGTCGCCATGGGCTTGCGCTCAGGACTGGGTGCCGCCATCGGCTGGCCTCGCGACTGGCGGACCGCCATGCGGAGAGCAGCGCGGAGCTCCCTCTGATAATCAGCCTGCAGCTGGGGGAGAAACTGCGCATCGAGGACTCGACAATGCCGTCGACGAAATCCCGTCGTCGTCCATGCCAATGCCCCCCCGCGCGGTCGCCGATCATGGCACACGGGGGTGCTTTGCAAAACCCTGGGTTTCAATTCCGTTGCAAGCAAAGATGGCCACACACGTTCGCAGGATCAGCGCGCCACCCCTGGCTGAATCGGCTTGGGGCTGGGGCGGCTTGGGCCAAAATGGCTACGGACGGCCCCAGATGGTCTCAAGACGGCCCAAGGAGGATCTCAAAACGGTCCAAGAGGGTCTTAAGAGGACCCCATTAGGGTCAGACAAACTTGCAAAAATACATCTCACTACAAAGATTTCAACCATTTGGGCGTTTTCACCCCTCCCCACGCGGCCTTGCCTCGCCCTGATCCTGGAGCCCGTCTGGGCTGCCTCCGCACACCTGACTCGTATGGCGCTCTCGAGCCTGCGCCTTTCCCACTACGCGTCGGGATGCGACTCTGAGAATGGCAGCGACACCTGCGAACACAGCGGACGCACATGCGGGAAGCGACTGCATGCAGTGCTGTGGAGGAGGAGGAGGAGGAGGAGGAGGAGGAGGAGGAGGAGCAGAGGAGGCGCCTCCCCCGCTCAGGCAGCCGCCCTTCCTTTGCTGTTCTCTCTTCTTCGCGCTGGCCTCGCGGGGCTGCGATGGCGGGAGACGCCCTTCAGCTGAGGGAGCGAAGCGTGGTGGGGGCGCCCTGCCTCACAGCAAACAGATCGGCCCATCCGCACTCTGTTTGCCAAACTTGTGCGTCTTCTGCACGGCCTGGGGCTTCCCTGGCAAGGAGCTGGAATGAAGACGCGCCACCGTGCCCCATGGCACCTTGAGGCCTGGTAGGATCTAAGGTGGCCCAAGAGTGGCCAGAGAGAACCCCACATTGGCCCCGATGGGGCCCTCATACGGCCCTCGAGACTTATAAAAATGAATCCACAACGACAAATCGAGCCACCAAACACGGAATCCGAACGCATCCAGATGGCCCTAAAATAGCCCTAGGACGGCTCAAGAGGTACCAAGAGGCCCCCAGGAGGCGAATAGCCGCCACCCAGAATGTTGCGCTGGCACGTTGGCGGGACTTGCCGCAAGCAGCTGAATACGTTATCGGATGTTTTCCTTCTCTGTTTTTTCGTTGTTGTTCTGCGAACGGTTGAACTACTCAATCCAAACCACCTTGCCAGGAATACTTACAACTGCTGGCGTCTTCGCGCAAATGGCCAGAACATGCAGGAATATCCTAGCGAGCGCGCACCACGGATCGCTCATACTTCTCCCGTGCTCGATTACACGTTTCGACCGTCAACTCGATTGACCTTCTTCGCATCGCGCTTGGAATATGATATATGTGCGGGCTCAACCTTCCAGCAGGGGATCGACTACATAATTGATGTACCCCAACATTGAGTTTCCCCATCGAATCTACGAAAAATGCGTGACATGCTCTACATATGCTGGGCATTCTGTGTATGTTTCGCAGATGCGATAGAACTGCGATTTTGGGGGTACATCGATTCTGTAGTCGATCCCCTACTCGAAACCTTTTGAGAGGCAGCGACGAAGAATGTTCACGGTGGGGGCTTTCGTTCAGGAACGTGCCCGGGAGGCTGCAGACCCTGGAGGGCTCCCTATCTAACGAGGGCGGCGGTGCTGTCCATTGCCGCTCCACGACTGCAGTTCCACTGGCTTCCGGGCCCTGGGTTCCTTATCGAAGCTCGTAGATGAGCAACACAGCCGCGTAAACCTGCACTTGTGGCGCTCCGCGCGGGTTTTTTGGATCTGCGCTGGACCCCCCTCCCTGGCGCGCGGAGCGCGCGCCCAGCGCAGGTCCAAGAACTCCGCGCGGAGCGCCGAAAGTCATGTTCATGCCCTTGCTTCGTCTTCGACCAACAGCTCCTTATCCAACGCCCTCACCGTAGCCATCGGTCGGAAGAGGTAGGTAGAGCCACGAAGCAGGAAGGCGCTGGAAGTAGACTGGCGCTCCGCCCGCCCCCTGAAGATGAGGGAGGAAGCCGCTCGATCGTTGAAGTAGGAAGGCGCGTGCAGTAGATTGGAACCTGGGATTCCAGAAAATACTTGCTCCATACGACCCTCGGGGATCTTCTGACCCGGGTCAATCCAGACCCGGGTCAGCAGGAAACCAAAAAACTGCAACGCAGGAAAAAACCAAACTGCAACGCAAGTCTTCGCAAACCCGGGTGAGCCAATATGCGCGGCCGCCTCGCGGCCACGAGCGGCTCGCTAACCCGGGTCAGCCAGAGGGGGTCTTCGCAGGATCCTGCAGGATCTGGTGCCCTTCGTGCTTTTGCAGTTGGATGTTCCTCGAGAGGCGGAGCTGGAGGAAGAGTGCGAGATGATGCATCCAACGCCAACGGCCGTCTACCAGCTACAGTGGAGGCTCGTCCACAAACAACCTTCCACAAGGAACCCAACCTTGAGACCCCAAGACGTCAACTTTTTTGGGGGGACGGGAACGTCACGCTTTCCATCGCAAAACCATCGGAACCCAAGAAACCCAGGGCACCCTGGAGTCGACCAGGGTGTTTCTTGGCATGGGTATTCACTGTACTCGCAGACGTGTCCCTGGACAAGAGTGACTTCTGGTGCGCGGCGTAAGGGGGGCACTGGGACGCCAACTCTAAGCGTGCAGGCCAGTGCTAGGGTCTCGGGGACTCGGGCTGGGGACTCGGGTTAGTCTGACGAGGCCGTCAGGATCATGACGAGACCCAGTCTGAAATCTGAGGCGGGCCCCACCTGCAGACATCCCACGACAGCTGGACCGTCAACATCCGATGACGGGGCTCGTCAAGAAGCACTGGCAAGCCCGAGCTCCAGCGAACTCGAGTCGCCCGCTTCCCCGACACAAGGGGGGCCTCCGTGGGCCAGTTTTAGACCGGGCATCTCCTCCTACAAGCAGATGTTGAACGATAGTTAGAAGATAGCCACAACTACGGAAAATAGCACACCAAATCTAAGACACATCGCCCCTACTGTTTTTCCCCTGCTTCTGAAGACTCCTCCTCTCAAGAGACATGCCCGACCCGAGGCCAACTATCGAGGCCACTGCGGCGCAGGGGCCCCCCTGCCGCGCGGCAGGCAGGAGCCCGCCCCTGCTGCTCTCTGCTGATGCCCCTGCCCGACCGGCGCCTGGCCTTCTTGCTTCTGCTCCTGCCCGGCGGGCGGGCTCGCGCCGGCACGGCGGGTCAAAACGTCGCCGCCGTCGTCGTCTCCGCCGCCGCCGCCGCCGTGGCCGCCGCCGTGGCCGCCGCCGTGGCCGCCGCCGCCGCCGCCGCCGCCGCCGTCGTCGTCGTCGTCGTCGTCGTCGTCGTCGTCGTCGTCGTCGTCGTCGTCGCCGTCGTCGAGGCCAGCAGCAGAGTCAGAGGTAGCGTGTGCCCTGGCGCCCTCCGTGCGCATCGCCCGACACTTGCCCCTCCCACCCCGCTTCTCGGCGCGGAGGGCGCCTGGGGCGACCCTGTGCGTCGGAGCCAGTCGCGTGCGGCAGATTTCGCTCCCCCCCCTCTTTCGTTCGACCCGAGCTCGCCCGACCCGAGCTTCGTTCCCAATGCCCCTTCGTCCGACCCGAGCACGCCCGACCCGAGCGTCGTTCCCAATGCCCTTTCGACCGACCCGAGCTCGCCCGACCCGTGCGTCGTTCCCCATGCCTTTTCGTCCGACCCGGGCTCGCCCGACCCGAGTTCTTTGCCTAATGCCCTTTCGTTCGACCCAGCTTGCCCGACCCGAGCACTCCTTCGCAGACGACCAACACGAGCGCTTTGTCCCCTGCGGGAGGCGCCTACCCCAGGGCGGCCGCGAAGTCCATCCAGCCACCCAGTATAGGAAGGATGCGCGATAAGGACGCAAGGGCCTTGGACGGCACGTCGAGGCTTTTCGAGCGGGGCGCGGCCAGCGAAAGTGGCCGAGGAGGGATCGAGGAGGCAAGGATGCAAGGGTACCCCTGGGAAGGTTGCCCATCCTTGATCTGCGGGTTGACTTCACTCCCGTGTGCGGCCATGGGGAGGCACAAACGTTCCAGCCGCACTGGGGCAGGCATCTTTCGCAGCGGAATGCTCTGGTTTGCACCATTGGGCATCTTCCGAACCTGAGGAGGAGGAGGAGGTGGAGGAGGAGAAGGTGCGAAGAGGAAGAGGAGGAGGATGATGATGAGGAGGAGGAGGAGGAGGAGGAGGAGCGAAGAGGAGGAGGAGGAGGAGGAGGAGTGAAGAGGAGGAGGAGGATGAGGAGAAGGAGCGAAGAGGATGAGGAGGAGGAGGAGGAGGAGGAGGAGGAGGAGGAGGAGGAGGAGGAGGAGCCTCTGCTGCGGGGCAGTGCTGCCGCAGCCTCGAGCTGCTGGGGCGCCGTCCGCCTGGCCCTGGAGGCCCTTGCCCTGCCCTGCCTCGTCGCTCGAGGGGCAACGGTAGGGGGGGGGGCCAGGCACACGGGGGGGGGCGCATCGACGTGGAATCGGCGATACGTCGTCGACAGATCGGCGATAGGCCCCCGATGGTGAACCCGCACCGCCCTGGGCCGGGTGGGGCTGCCGGGCCCCTGTCGGCGATCAGGGGGCGATCGGGGGTTGATGCACCCCGCCCCCCCCTCTCTGCCCACCTCTCTGCCCACCTCGTTGCCCCCCTCTCTGACCACCTCTCAGTGGGCGATCGGGGGTTGATGTCCCCCCGCCCACCTCGTTGCCCCCGACCCTGAGGGTCGGGGGAGCTTATATTTAAGCTCTCTTGCGTTCATCACAAAACAACCGCTCTCATGTGATGCTTGGGAGCTTGTTTGAAGCTTTGACAGCACATGAAACTGTCATTCCCTGGATCGGCAAGATCGATCTTTCCGATCCAGGGATTGCGACTCCCAGCCGCTCCCGAGGAAGGACGCGCGGAGGCCACCCGAGGCAGCGCTGCATCCGCCAGGGTGGGGTTCCTCCGCGGGCTGCTCCTCCACGCCCAAGGGGAGGGCGACGGACCACCCGACCCCTCCAAGAGCCACCCAACCCCTCCAAGAGAACGGGGGAAGACGGGGGGAAGACGAATGAGCAATTCCACCGGCCAAGCCAAGGCCCACCTCTGATGGACCTCCCTAAGACTGCTCACGGGTCGGCGCCCGAGGAGGCCCTCCGGCCGAAACCCTACGTGCCGCCGCGCTGGTCCCGGGCAGGCTGTGTGCTGCCCAGCGGAAGGGGGGCGAGGGGAGAAGCAGGCAGACGACGACGAACGCCCAGGCAGAAGGCCAGGGCCGGCCATGCGGGCGGGCAGGCAAAAGAGGGGCCAGGCTTAGGTCGGGCATGCTCTCCTACAGGCGGATGTTTGCTTGAAAGATAAAAGAAGTCAAAACCATGTTTTAAAATATTTTTAACACTTTGTTGGGGAAAAAAGTAAGACTAAAAATCGTCCCCAGACTATTCGTCCACTATTTTGAATATTCCTCGTGTAGAGGGACACGCCCGACGCAAGGCCAGACGGGGACAGCAGGCAAGGAGCAGGACGGAAGGCCCACCTGCTGCCCTCGTCGTCCTCCGTGTCCGTGTCCGCCGGCTGCTTCCCCTCGCGCGCGCGACACCGCGGGCGCGCAGGGTGCCGCCCACGGAGGCGGGGAGGCGGTGGGCAGAGGAGCGGTGCGGGAGGCACGGCAAACCCAGAATCGAATCGAAAAGTCGGATCGGCGATCGAAATGAATCGGATCGGCGGAAATCGGCAGCCAAGTCGGAGGAGTCGAATCGGCGAAAATCGGCAGAGTAATAATGCCTCATTGAGAAATCGGAATACCAATCGGAATCCCAAGTCGAGTGCGATCCCAAGTCGAATCGAAGGAATCGAAACGAGCCCTGCACGGGGGCACGCGCGCACGCAGATGCACGGATGTGCGCGCGGGGGCGTGCGCTTCCTTCCTCCTCGCCCTCCAAGCGGCAAGTTCGGGTCGTGACGATCAGGGCGTTGGCTTCTGGCACCGTGTGGATCCTTCAACCTGCAACGACTCCTTTTTTGTCCGATAAGTGAGCGTTTTTGTTATTCGGCGTTTCGACATTGGGTGGAAAGGGGGATGGGGGGGTCTGGGGGTATGGCTCTGGACCTCTGCTCAGTGTGGCTGTTTGCAGCAATGCGTCCTGTGGGGGAGGCCCCACCTGCTTGCAACAGGCGCCAAAAACAGCCAAGACCTACTCCCATTGGGGGGGAGGGAGGGGGGGGGGGGCGAGGGCTCGCGCCGATCGGCAAAACGATGAATGAAGCAACGATCGCTTTTCCGATAGCGCAGATCGTTCGATACTGGCCGATCCTGGGCCGCCGGCGGCGCTTCACCTTTGAACGCCCGCGCCAGAGTCGCCGCCACGTCGACACGACACGAAACCACTGTACCCTCCCCTCACCGCCTTCCTTCCTTCTGCTCCACTTCCCTCCCTCCCTTCTCTTCTTCGCCGCCCTCCCTTCTGCTCCGCTTCCCCCCCTCCCGCCTCCTCTCCTCCCTCCACTCCCCCCCCCTTTCATCTCCTCTCCCCACTTCCCGCCCTCCCTTCTCCGCCTCCCTCCCTTCTCCGCCTCCCTCTCTTCTGCTCCACTCCCCCACCCCCGGGGGCAGGGCTGTCCCGCGCGGTCTGCCCCGGCGCAGCGACTGCCAGAGAGGCTTCAGGGCTGGGGCGGCGTCGGGCAGTTCGGAAACGGCACTGGCCCCTGGCTCGGGCTCCCCGCGGCACGCTCCACCCTCGGCGGTGGACAAACCTCCCTTTAGCAGACCTCCCCTTGGTGAAAACGGCCTGGGACCGAAACCGACGGACCGGGACCCGCAGAAATGACGGCCGCCACGCCCCCTCGCGCACCGAAAACGGCCAATTCCTTAATCGACGTGTCAGGGTAGGAGGTCTGTCCACCCCCGACACCCCCTTCCCTCGGCGGCGAGTCCGGGGGGGAAGTGCGAAGGGGCGGGCCTCCTCAGAAGGCCCGAAGGCCCCTGGCCTCTCCGAAGGCGCGGGGGCTCTCGAGAAGCCCCGCCGCCCTCTGCGAGAGCCTTCTCCTTCTCGTTTTTCCCCCCCCTCCTCCTCCTCCTCCTCCTCCTCCTCCTCTTCCTCCTCCTCCTCCTCCTCCTCCTCCTCCTCCTCCTCGACCCTCGCCCTCGACCCTCGCCCTCGACCCTCGACCCCGCCCTCGATCCTCGATACTCGCCCTCGGTCCTCGACCCTCGATCTTCGACCCTCGATCCGCGGCCCTCGACCTTCGACCCTCGACCGGAGGAGGAGGGCTCGCCGCCGGCTCCTGCTTGAAGGCGGCTCACGCTTGTCCTTCGATTTGTCGGAGGTGGGCGTTTCGAGTTGGCCCGGCGCCACGGACCCTCCAACTCGGGGGCCTACAGTTAGGTCGGGCATGTCCCCCTACAAACAGATTTTGGAGGACACATAAAACATGATGCAAAAATTAAACAAAAATTAAACATCGTCCCCATACTATTTTTGTTACTATTTTCGCATATTCCTCCTGTAGAGGGGCACGCCCGACTTAAGCCTACAGCCGTCCTTCAGGGTGACGTTGTGTCAGCCCGTAAACGTCTCCACCACCCCGCCGACCCTCAGGGGTGCCGCGTCGTGAACAAATCGCGCGCCTGGCAGGTCTCAGGGAAGAGAACGGAATGACCATCTAGAACGCGATAAAGAGACGAACAAACGATGAGAAGAAACAGATGCAGCCGAGAGAGAAAAGATAGGAGAGGTGAGGGGCAGGAGGCGCGAGAGGAGACGAGAAACAGCACTTGCCCTCTTCGAGACGAAGGCCGAGCACAGGATGGCAGGGGACTGCGCGAAGTGCACGTTGCTGCATGGGTGTCACGCTGCACCCTGTGCAAACTTCTGCCCCACACCGCACCTAACAAAGACACGCGACAGACCCGAAAGCAAACTGGCACGGCGGCTGCAGCCGGCAGTCGGCGAGGAACCGCTGCCCCGAACCATGCCTCGGCGCCCGACAACCTCGGGCACGCGGCTGAAGTAAGGGAAAAAAAGGTATTGTAAACATAAAAACTCGCAGGTCCGCGCGGATTTCTCGGATCGGCGCTGGACCCCCCTCTCTGGCGCGCGGAGCGCGCCAGGGGCGGCGCCGGAGGCGCCGCCGGGGGCCCCAGCGCCGATCTGAGGAATTTGCGCGGACCTCCGAGTTATTATGTTTATGCCACTTCTTGTTCCCCTAGAAAGGGGGTGGCCACCACAAGGATGGGCGGGGTTGGGAAACATCTTTGCGCCGGCATAGAGGCCCCAGAAACACCAGCGCTGTGTGATCAGAAACATGGCCGGCCCGGCCCGGCTACTCCTTCTCGCGCTCGGGAAAGCCAAGCACGGCAGGGTGGTCTCGCTGCACCCCGAGGCGAAGAGTCAGACACGGCACGGGACGCGGGCACGGCAGAGCGCCTTTTGCGAACTCCCGAGAAACCAAGCACGGCACGGCATGCGGGCACGGCACGGCAACTTTCTCGCACCCTAGCGATCGGGAGCGACCAAGAGGGGGGTGTCCAAGAGGGGGGGGGTGCAAATCATGACCGGCGGCATGTGCGCGGCCCAGCGGGGGGGCCAGGGACGTAACGAAATAAGAAGAGGCGCCAGGAAATCTGGGGAGATATCATGGCCCCCGCCATGATATCCCCCCCCCCTGGTCCCCCCCCCTCTCTTCCGCCCCCGACTGGAAGCCAGGCACGGCACGGCACGGCACGCGGCCACGGCACCCGACTCCGCAGCCTCGTCGAAGACGTGCACGGCACGGCACAGCGCGCGCACGCACGGCATTTGGGCGTGGCTCAATGGGGGGGTCACAAATGGGGGGGTCAGAAAAGGTCCCCTTTCGTGCCCCTTTCGGGCCCCTCCAGAGCCCCAGGGGGCTCGTTTAGGTACCTTTGGGTACCTTTTCGGACCACCCTCGCCACCCCCCCATTTATGACCCCCCCATTACGCGGCGCCCAAAGCATGGCACCCTCCCGCGGCCCCGGCACCGCGCGCGGCACGGCACCTCTCTCGCACCCTCGGAGCCGGGCGCATCCACTGGGCGGCACGGCACGGCGGCGCGGCACGGCGGCGCACCCGCAGAAACCCGAGGCGAAGCACGGCACGGCACGGCGGGCACGCCCACTCTTCGCACTCCCGGGCAGACCGCGACGCGGCGGCTCGCGCGGGCACGGCCTGCTGCGCACCCGAAAGACCACGCACGGCACGGCGCGGCAGCCCCTCGCACCCCGAGAAGCTCAGCACGACCAGCGCGGCACGCGCGGGCACGGCACGGCACACTCTCCCGCAGTCTCAAAAGCAGGTGCGGCACGGCACGGCACGTTGGTGGCAGAAGGCAGCGGGCAAACCGCACCACAAGGACGCAATGCGATGATGCAACACCCTGGGCCGAGGAAGCCTGCGAATACATGGGTGCCCTTGCGGCGACTAGCGCCCATTGCCGAATAAGAACGCCCTTCTTGCGATCTTGCGCGTCCGCTGCTGACATAAAGCCGCATTTCCTCACTATCACAAGTCACCCCGAAAATGGGTGACACATGTCACCCGCTAGTAGCTAGCGTGTGACGTTTGCCTCTCCCCTCCCACATCTGGCGGGGCGTACGCGAGGACCCAGATGGAGGGAACACCGACGAACCTAGAAACATTCGAGGAGCTGCGAACAAGCGCCCCCCAAAAAACACATGTTCCTTTTCTTACCATTGGAGCGTCGTGTGTGCTTGCGCGACCTCTACGGCTGCATGACGTCTTGTTGACTACCTGAACTCTCGAAGCTTCCATGATCCAACTCTATCCACAACTGCCCCTGGGGAGGCGGATGAGAGAGGAGCACGGAATGCAATGTATCTTCTGCCCTCTCTTGCCACGCATTTCTGCTTATCCTCCTCATCTCCCTCATCCGGGGAGAGCATACGAAACAACCCGATGCCGCGAATCCCTGGACACCTCCCGGGGAGCATTGTGACCAGAATGTCGAGCAGAATCAAGCCATGGTGACGAGGGCTCGCCAGGACAAGCAGCGGTATCGCTATCTTTTCCCTCTCTCGTCGTTCGCCCTCGTCGCTCGTTCTTTCTCCCCGCTCGCCCTGGTCGTTCTCTCTCCTCGCCTCACAGCGCTCACCAGCGACCCGCTCCGATGGCGCGCAGCTGCCGCCTTGCAGAGTCCACGGCGACCCGGGGGCTTCTTGCTCCCGCCGGGATTCGCCTGGGGCGGCCCGCCATCCCTGTTTCCCTGCAGGTAGCTCCTCCCTGCCGCACCCCGATGTCAGTTGGAGGGGCTGGCTGGGCCTCTCGCCTGAGACTTCCTCGCAACAGACGGCCCTGAAGCTTGACAACTGGCAGTAATTTCACGGATCGAGGGCGGGCGGCTTCAGCATGCGGCTCTCGCCCTGGGGCCGCGCACATTCGTCGTAACAACTGGCCAGGGTTTCACAGTTGAGGGCGGTTCCTTTGCAACATGTGGGTCTCGCTCGCCCTAGTGTCGTGCGCACTCGTTTTAATAAATGGTTATCGTTTGACATGTTCCGGGTGTCAACGTACCAGAAATAATGTGTTGGAACTATGAAGGGTTGTCAGAGCGCAACAATTACGTTGATTCGCGGTGTTGATGTCAATCAGGTTGATTCGTGGCGTTGGAGTTCCCAAAATGGTACCGTATTCTAGCAGTTCTCGGGATCTTCAAACGGTTGTCTCCCAACGGGGCCCTTGCCTCAGTGGAGCTGAATCCTTGTAGGGGCCTATGAAGAGGGAGCTTAGAGGGAGAGTTGACTCCAACATCGTTGTCCTCCTCCTTCTTTTTCTTTTCCTCCTCCTCCTCCTCTTCCTCCTCCCCCCGCCCCCCCCTTGGCCATCTCGTCCTCCTCCTCCTCCTCCTCCTCCTCCTCCTCCACATCCTCGACCTCCTCCCCCTCCTCCCGCTCCCCGTCCCCCGTTCCTCCTCCGACTCACCCCATTTTCACAATTAGTCCCTATGAAAACTGCTCTTCTGTTTCCCCTGAGTGCGTCCGGAAGATACCGTGCCATCTCCGCGTGCTATTTCTACAGACAATATTTCAAACATTGCATTATTTTCACGTTCTTCTTCTAAGCATCCGATTGCTTTGGTGTTTTAGACTGGTGCTCACACTGCAGCGTGGGCCTCATTTTCGGATCGGCGCTTTGCTCCCGCCGTTCAGATCGGCGTTTTCGCCCCAGCGCGGGCCACTGTTCTGGATCCGAGTCTTTCTTCATTGTTATCGCCCCCGTCATTTCCCCTCCTCTGCCTTCCCCTGTTCATCCTATTCCTCCCTTTGCACTCCAGTTTCTGTTGCTGCTGCTGTTCGTCCACGTCTTTTTCAACCCCTGCTCACCCGCCACCTCTTCCTCCTCTTCCTCCTCCTCCTCTGTTCCTCCTCATGTGCACGCAGATCCCCTTTTTTCCGACTGCGCATAACACCGTGTGTTTTTGTTTGCTGGAGTTGCAGGTCGGCTACGACACGCGTCCGCGGATAGAGAGAACAGTGCAATTGGAATGGATCAGAGATATTATGTCAGATGGGGCGCGAGCGCACCTAGCGTGGCTCCCTGCCCCTTCCCTCGGCCTCCCCGCTGTGATGTTTATTGCGCAAAACCCTCGAAACTTGAGCCACATCGGTAGTGGAGAAAGCGTCTTGATAGGAATTGAGTTCCCCTGGCTCCTTTTCTAATTTATGCACGGGTACAATTCCTGATCGAAGCCTATATATAAGCTCTGTCTCATTCCATTGTCTAAGACCTACGCTGCAAACCGAGCAACCCAGACCCTGAATTCCGAAATTGACTGAAAACGGCAATGCAATCTGAACGAAGGCCGGGCAGAAGCGCGCATCAAGAAGCTAAATTCAAAATGGCGATCACATCGCTTACGAAGACGAAGAACATGACGTCTATCGTTACTTCGCTAATGAAAAGGAACTCGATAGACCAATTGGCATGCATCAAGATACGGAACTTCCGGCCAACGTAAAATTCATGAGAATAAGACCTGTGTGTCGTATCCCGGCCCAGACCACATCATTGTGAAAACCGCTCGGTCCGCTCGAAGTTGCACACAGAGGAAAAATCTGGTGCATGAAGAATCCGCCTGCGCGCGATGACCTTTTTCGCGCCCTAGAGCCTCGCAGCTCCTGTCGTCAACATCTGCATCAGCTGTAGGAGTACTCCAGGCTTGGTAAGCGCGTCGCTGATCATCGGGTCCGTGGGTATCTGAAACGCGCTTCGAACTCGGCGCGACAACCAGCCCTCGCGTAGCGCCATCACCGCCACCTGTCCTGCGACACCCCTTTGAGCCCCGTCGCCAGCTCGAACATGTCCGTGCAATCCGTCATGTGATGGGCTGGCAACGAGTACTGACCATGCATACCCATGTGCTTCATCATCGCCAGCAGCTGTCGTAATGTGCCATGGCGTGCAACAGTCATCTCTGCGACTCCCGCCGCTACAATTTGAGGAACGCCGGACACCACTGCTAAACCGCAGTTGGTTTCGCCCATGGATGTCAAATCAGCCAACTTCTTCGCTTCGCTGTTGATCGCCAAATATGGCACGGCCACGACAACTAGAAGGCCCCGGCCACCGTCAAAGTTTGATCTTCTGTTACGCCGAAGCTGTGATCCTGAACCAGAAGAAGCAGTTGAGCTTCCTGGGGATGAATTCTTCGTCGCAAGATTCGCCTCGGCCTTTGGAACATGTGAACCAACCATCTTTGTATATCGCTGAAACCGATTGAATAAGGAAAAAGGCCCACTTCGGCCGGGTTATCTTCGGCCCATTGCTGACGCCCCGCAACTTTTTTTTATTTTAATATATATATATATATATATATATTATATATATATATTCTGGCCATGGTATGAAGATTGCAGCGTCACGATAATAGCGCGGATGCCGTAGTACTTCTGAAGCCGTGCACGTGAATGCCAGCCGCGGCGATCTCTTCCGTGCCATCTGGCACATCGCAGATCAGCATTGGATCGGTAGCCCCCCTGCTGCAGAAATATCATAACATCGTCCAGCCTTGGATACAGAGCTCAATTGCGAGTGACATGCAGCTCCTGTCTCTTGATGGCGCCAAACTGCGCCGGGAGAAGTCGTCGAATCTAAAATTGAGAGCGTTGTGTTGCTGCCGCAAGATCGCCCAGATGTATGGATAGTGCTGCTGCCGCCTCGCCCATCGCCTTCTTCTCCTCGAGCCCGCCGCGCTCGCTGTCGGGAATGTCCTCGCATGCCCAGCAGTCGGAGTTCTCGCCCCAAAGACTCACTCGCGCCCGAGGCACGTCCACCAAACACAGTGACAACACAACGTGCCAAAAATGCCGGGCGTCAACCAATCCGTGCATTGGCTCCAACGACGTCCTGCACCCGCGCCCGGGAATCGCCGTCAAGTGTCATCCCAACTCGCCGAAAACATCCCCAACGATCGCTGCGGCCCGATGCAGCGTCACCCTGATTACTCCAGCAAATGCATCCTGGGGTGCATTGGAAAAAAACACAAAAGGCCCCCGCCCCCCGACAGGGCCCTGGCCCCGCACCCCCAGGGCTATACCAAGGCAAACCGCGGACTTTCCTCAAGCGAAGAAACGGTTTTACGAGAGCGAAGAAGCGGCGCTACTAAAGCGAGGAAATGGCTTTTCTCAAGCGAGCAAGCGGCTTCAGTAAAGGCGCGCCACTCAGTGCATTCCGAGATCTGTAGTGCAGCGGAGAGACGGCTGGAGTAAAACTGCGCGCAGAAATATCGCTCCTCCCATAAAATCTGGCTCGGGAAACCAGGGGCGAGGGCGGGGGGCAAGTTCGCCCGCGGGCCTGGGCCTCGTCGCCGCCGTCGTCGCGATGTTCGTCGTCGTCGCCGTCGCCGTCGCCGTCGCCGTCGTCGCTGTCGGCGCAGACGCCGCCGTCGTCGTCGCCGCCGCCGTCGTCGTCGCCGCGGCGCCCGCGCATTCGCGTTATTGCCGGCGGCGGGTCGCGCGCCGCCGCGCGCGCCATTGCGCTCGCATTTCCGCTCCCCCGACGGGGGCCCAGGCGGGCGTCGCGTTTATTCTTCCACCAACAACAATTCGACAATAGTAATCGGATACTTGGGGGCCCCGACAGGGCCCCCGGAGCCGCCGGGGTGGGCCCGAGGACGGCCCCGCGACGAGGGCACTACGGGAAACCGGAATTGAGAATTCGGGCATTTCGCCCCGAAGCAACGTGAAGGGGCGCCTAAAGTTACCCAAGAGGCACTGGCGGGGGCCCGCGGCGCCCACGAACGGCCCCGGGGCCCAGAGACGGCCGTCGACGACGAAAACCGCAAGCAAACTGCAAAGACTTAGACTTTCCGATCGAACTATTTTCTTTTCCCCGCGCAGAGATCGTTCGCCAAGGGCCCCCCGGGCCGATCCCAGACTCCAGTCGCAATCGCGTTCCCAGATGCATCCAGCCGCGGCGACGGGGGGGGGCGTAACCCCCCCAATCGCGACGAACTTCCCGAGTCCAACGGGCCACTCCGCGCAAATTCGCCCCCCGAGTTTCTCTCCGGGCCCGCTGATGCGATTTCTCGCCCCAGGTCCGTCCGGCTCTGAAAATCCCGGGGCCCGGCGACGACCCCCGGATAAACCGAGGCCAATCATGCGCAACAGCTGTTGGAACATAAATATCTGGAAAGGCGGCCGGAGCTGCCGCGGGCACCCGCCCCGATCGAGAAGAGGAAGAATAATATGAAGAAGAGGAGCAGGGCAGGGGGGGCGAGGAGGAAGACAGACAAAAGAAAAATAATATTTCGTCGTTGCCGGCGATGTCTCGCATATCCCAGAGGATCCCTGGATCCCGAAACGGGATCTGCTATGTAGAACATATGTTTTTATAATATCATCATCCATCGGGATCTGAAACATATGTATCAAAGAAAAAGGGATCTAACCTTAAACCACTAGCATATGTACACGCGTACATTACACGTAGATTAGCTAGTTCCACCCGTATAAAACCGAACCTCATTCCTAGGATAAGGTGTGCGTCCATACGTGCTGCGCAGACGCTAGATTCCTTTTATCCTTGTTTGCTGGAGGTCTTTTCACACGCCTACGTCTGAAGGTCTTTTCACACGCCTGCGTCGGAGTTCTTACGCGCCTATAGGTCGGAATCCTTTCACGGGCCTGCGTCGGCCGTGGGGTGTCGATCAGGTTTGCCACCTCAGCCCATCCCGTCCTG